ATAAGGAAAATGATGTGATTCAAGAGCATGTCTCGGGGCGCCTGGGTGGCTCGGTTGATTAAGCAACTGCCTTCGGCTCAGGTCATGATCCTGGAGTCCTGGGATCGAGTCCCACATCGGGCTCCCTGCTCAGTGGGGAGTCTGCTTCTCCCTCCGACCCTCTTCCCTCTCCTGCTCTCTGTCTCTCATTCTCTCTCTCTCAAATAAATAAATAAAATCTTAAAAAAAAAAAAAGACCATGTCTCTTAGAACAAAAGATGGGGAAGGCAGAGAAATGGAAACATGATGTTTCAAATCTTCAGTTTAGAAGCCAGTGGCAGTTCAGGGAATCTCTGATATAATTTCTGAACACATTAGCGGCTTAACTGCCTTTTAATAAGATGAACTTACAGATATATTAGAGTGGCCTTGGCTGGGTGGTTGGTTTTAGTAAGGGCTTCGATTTGGTTTTAGCCAAAGCAGAAGTTGGTTATTTTTTTCTCATTAAAAAAATACACTCGTTGGCATTTTCCTGAGTGACTATTATCTCATGTCAAAAGCATATATGCTCAACTCATGGGGGAAACATCTATGCTGCGCTTTGCCTCTTTTGTCCTCTTATGGAAAGATTATACTGAAGGAAAACCGTTAAAATGGGAAGAAGAAATCAACTTATATTTAGCATCAAATACAGATCCAAGATTAATACCAGGCTGATTTTTTCTGCTTCCCTGAGACACACACTGCAAGACCGAGAAATATGGTTCTGTTATATCTATCTTTAGAAAGAGTCACCAGGGAATCCAAAAAAGCCACTGTTAGAAGTAATTTGTTGGCTTCCTGACACATCGGGCTCATTATCGTGATCTATGTACCAGCCTTTGGTACTATTTGCAATTTTCAGGGAGGTCATTAATGAAAGCTAAGAAAAAGAATGACTACGAAATCAGTCTTGGAGTTTATTTCACACATTCTCGATGCTGAGGTTATTCAGTGAGTGGTGTTGGAATGTAGAGAAATCATAAAGCAGCCAGTCCAGATAAGTGAAGGGCAGCTTGGGTCGTCAACCCCAAAATATACTTGACTCTCCAAATTGCTAATGCAGTGATTATTGCCCATGGCTGTAGACATGTTACTTCAAAAGAGCCTTCAAGGAGAGATGTAAATTGAACTCACAGGTAATAAGGAAGAATCTGTAATTCAAGATAAAGTTTTACCAGTTTTCAAAGCGAATTCCCAAAACCAAGCAGAGATAAATCAATATAGTAATGAAAGAAAGCACCTAATTAAAAAAAAAAAACTGAATAAATTTTTTCCCCTTAAGTTAAAGTTGTTTAAAATATGCTGTCCAAACACAAGTATATGATGATTTTGTAATTTAAAATGCTCCTTGTTCTGGCTAGAATGCAGGGCTAGAGAGGGTAAGTAGTTCAGGAGCGGGGAGTTCTAGTCTTGGGGACTTAGCCCGTGGGGCCTCTAGCGGCTTGTGTCCACAAAGGAGGACTCCAATCCTATATGAGGCTCACTACCTGACCAGTGCAGTAGCTTTGATCTGTTTCCAGCTGGAAAGAACAACATGGATGTGTCCACAGAAAGCATTTCCCACGTCAAAGAACAAGCTAGGCTACCACTGTCTTTTCTGTATCCTTTTCCTGAATGCTCAGAATTGCTGAAAACATTTGGGTGTGTATTTGGCATGTGCAGAGTAATCAGATCTTACAAATACAGGGAGCCTTGAGAGATCAGCTACATTTGCAAACTCGGAACAGTCTTCACAGATAGATGAGAGACACGCTATTTCCCTTTTTTTTCATTTTGCCACAATTAGGTTGAAGAAGGGAATTACAGGGTTCACTTTACATTGCACTCTATCATTGTATCACTGGCATCAATCATTTTTATGGACCTATGAAACAGGCCTAGAATGGGTTACCACAGTCACCTGCTACAGCCTGCTGCCTTCAGGCAGATGACATTTGGTTCCTCGGTGTAGCTTAAATTTTACTGACTTCATAGTGAGAGCCCCATCTGAACATGCTCCACCATTACATCAATTCAGCTGGACCGTGATAGGTCCAAAGGGGATGAAGATTACAGATATTCTAACATCATTTTTGGAACCATATATTCTACCAGGACCACAAGGATCTGAGACAGGAAGAGAACAATTAAGGGACTAAGGTGTGCTGGAGGTATCCATAGCTGAAAACTGCTATCAAAAGGCAGCAGGCTTCCGGGAAAGAATTTTCTTTTTAGCTCAGAGGCCAGAAATACGTTGGCATTGCCACTGGAATTGGAACAAAGCCAATTTTTATTTTTTATTTAAAAAAAAATTTTTTTTAAAGATTTTATTTATTTATTTATGAGAGAGAGAGAGAGAGGCAGAGGCAGAGGGAGAAACAGGCTCCCCGCAGAGCAGGGAGCCCGATGCGGGACTCGATCCCAGGACCCTGGGATCATGACCTGAGCTGAAGGCAGACGCTTAACCGACTGAGCCACCCAGGCATCCCCAAAGCCAATTTTTAATTGGTTCTAAAATCTCAAATGGAACATTCCTGCAGTCATCCATGAACCGACCTCATCCTGTAGAGGCTGAGTAAATCTTTTTTTAATTTTTTTATTTTTAAAGATTTTATTTATTCACTTGACAGAGAGAGACACAGCGAGAGAGGGAACACAAGCAGGGGGAGCGGGAGAGAGAGAAGCAGGCTTCCCACTGAGCAGGGAGCCCGATGCAGAGCTCGATCCCAGGACCCTGGGATCATGACCTGAGCCGAAGGCAGACGCTTAACCGACTGAGCCACCCAGGTGCCCCGAAGCTGAGTGAATCTTGGCCAACCATCTGCCTTGTGAATTGTTCTGTTTGGGACCCTTATAGGACAGAAAGTACTTGTGCAATAGTTTCACATGAGGTTAAAGTCCTTCAGGGTGTCTCTGGAGCAGAGAATTCAAAAAGAGAAAACGGTCTCCAGAGAGAAAAATCAAATGCCCTCACTGATATGCCTTGGGGCTGGGTGAACCTGCAAGGCTGGGAGTTAACTACCTTCTCTCCTCCTAGCACAGTGGTTTCCAAAAAGGACTAAAACCTATTCTTACAGAAGACAGGCAGCTGGACAAACAGACTGCATTAGTACTTCAAGATAGGCTTAACTCAGAATTTTACTAGATTCACCATTGTAGCTCCAGGGCTTCACACACAGCCACATCTCCATAAGGTTTGGTTGAATGAACGATGACCCTTTCGAAACGTGCCTACACTGAAATTAACTCAGCGGCAGAGAGTGTGTGGGGAGCCCACCTTTTCTCCCATCCCCAGGAGAGTGCTCCACCCTACACAGCAAGGATGGAATGAAGGATTCTTCTCAACAGTGCCCAGGGATGAGCACTTTCTCCAAGTCCTTCTTAAGTCCACCCTGTGATTATTACAGGGCACAGGGGGAAAGGAGGAAACGAAGAAGACTAATCGGCAATTCCTGACACTGCAAATGAAATGGAAAACCGGCTGTTGATGAAGATAGTCTAGACAAGCTCATAAATAAAAACATACTTCCTCAGATGAGAAGCAGTTGAAATAAGTAAGCCTCACCAAGAACTTTCAACATTTGGATTTGAATGACTGCCAAAGAAATGGGAAAAAAAATGAGCAAGAAAACCAAATGTAACATTTATAAAACAACAACAACAACAACAACAACAGCTTTATATCTAGGTTTTTTTTTTTTTTCACCAAAAGAAGAACATTCTATTTTTAAAAGATAGGCTATATTCTTTAAAAATGTTAATGTCCTACAAGACAAAGAAAGCCTGAGGAGCGGTTCTAGATGGGAGGACACCAGAGTGACAGGACAGCTCAGCGGCTGTGAAGGACAGTATTAGGTCAACTGATACAAATGGAATACAATCAGCGCATTAGGTGAAGTACCGTATGAATGTTCAGCTTAGGGAAGGTCATGTAAAAGAATAGCCTTATTCTTAGGAAATCCCCACTGAAATATTTAGGGGTAAAGGGCTATGAGGTACGTAATTTCCTTAAAAAAATAATTAATTAATTTGAAAATTGAGATAGAATTGGGTCGGTTTTCAATTTTACGGTAGACTTTTAAATATATTACTGGGAGATGCCAGGTCTTAAGTCCAGAATGCTATATGGCATCGTCATTAAATGTATAATTTCAGGCTGGTCCCCAGGGGATGGAATCCCTCCAAAGCTGCAGCAGCCAGAGAGCCGCAGGGAAGTGGTATTCACTCGGGGGCCGCCTACAGGTACCCATGCAGAAAGAAAGCCACACTTGTAATCATTCTTTTTTTTTTTTTTTTTTTAAGATTTTATTTATTTATCTGACAGAGAGAACGAGAGAGCACAAGCAGGGAGAGCAGGAGAGGGAGAGGGAGAAGCAGGCTCCCGGCCAAGCAGGGATCCTGATGCGGGGCTTGATCCCAGGACCCTGAGATCATGACCTGAGCCGAAGGCTTAACCATCTGAGCTACCCAGGCGCCCCACTTGTAATCATTCTTGAGGCATGATGACTGGTATGCTTTATCAGGGCTAATACACTGCTGTACACTCCAGTTGATCGAGAGCTTAAAAGGACTATCGCTCATATTATCGAGCCAAAAGGGGCTTTTATACTTATCGAAATCAATGCTTCCCTAATTCAGGACACTGGCAAGCCATACATTTCTGTATAACTTAATTTGATACAAGTGGATATTCTAGAGCCAAACCGTCTGGCTTAAACTCCCAGCTCCACCACTTTCTACATGTATGACTTTCAGAAACTTACTTCATGGCTCTTTGCCTCAGTTTCCTCATTTGTAAAGTGGGGATTAAAAAAAAATACTTACCTCATAGTATTATGGTGAGGATTAAATGAGTCAACACTTTTAAAACACAAAAGTGCCTGGACCCTGGTAAATATTCCAGGAATGTTATCTTTTAATATTGATTAAATATTCCAATAGAGGAGACAAGAAAAAAAGACGTAGTGCCATAAATCCACATCTAGGACTTCGATATTCACCTATAACACAGAAGGGCTTTCGCGCAAATCTCAGTCTTCCTTGCCATCCTCTATACCGACAACAGCAACCTGCAGACCAGATTCGAATGATGAACTCCAAACCAAAGACGACAATCATCACGAACTCCTAAAATATGAAATAACACATGTTAGAGAGAGGCATTACGGAGCAAACCACAGTGAGAGGCTCCTGGGCATTTCTGGACACTTAGGCACTTCACCTAAAATACAGTTGTTAGTGCCCCGAGTTAACATCCCCTCTTCTTCAAAGCAAACTAACCCTGGGGGCACACGTGAACCTCACATTGTCTGCATTTCCCATCACGGAATGCTATTCCTATTCAAGTCCCTAACACTGTACTAATTTAGGAGTCAGTTTTAATACTAAATGTGCAGGCTGAATTACAGCTCTGCCTTGTTTGGAATATACAGTGTAACTGACTTCAGCTACCCGGTAAAACATGTGAAATATTTGAAACGAAGGAGGGGACCCTGAAAACACAGCTTTCACTTTTACAAAAAAACAGACTTTCATTTTGCTGCAAGAAGGGATATAATCCTTATGTCCTTAAGAGTTGTTCTTAGAGAAAAAGAAGTAAACATGTGGAAGTCTACTGAGTTCTTTTGTTATGGTGTCAAAATCTTGTAAGACAGAAAGTTTCAAAAGAATTATTGTGTGTGTGACACATAGATTCTTTGCCTGAAATGAGATCCTGAATCTTCCAGATCTGAAGCTTGTTAATTCTTATGCTGTCTTTTGGTGAGAGATACCCAGAATATAACACTTGCTCCAGCAAAATGACTGAGATTATTTAGGAATAGTGGTGAATGAACCCTGGGGGAAGGTCACCTCACATGGCTCACTAAGTAGCAGGTCACAGAATGAGAAACCAAATGGAATTTGTAAGAATAAAGCATCTCTGGGGCAAGTGTGTCATAGTCACCTTGTTGTCCCTTTAGAGGGACAGACACTGAGTTTATTGAAATTTATTTTACTTTAAAAAATAATTCCCTTTCTGGTCTTTAAACAAGGGTCAACTTAGCATTTATAACGCATAACAATGTGTGTTCATTGATTTTTATCATAATTAATTAATTATAAAAGGGATACATGGTCTTTATCAAAACATTCAAACATCACAGAAATATAGAGCATAGAAAGTAAAGATCCTAATCTCCCACCCCACAGCCCAAGATAAAAACTGTTATCAAATTTAGAGAAATGGCATTTTTGTTGCAAGTTTCAGGCAAATGTCTCTCTCTTCAGTTAGCACATGTGATAATATGTTGCACTTTTGCAGAGCCCAATAGAGATAGATCATTCTATCCTGTTATTTTGCACTAAGTAACCCACAAATATTTCTCATGATGAAAAATAAATCTCCAATGTCATCGCTGCTTACTTACAGAGACTTAAAACTACCTATGGAATAAATCCCCAAAGATGACTTTATGGCCAGATAACCAAAACTACGGTCAACATAAACTCATTAATGATGCAAGGGTTTCGTTTTATTTTGGCTTTGCTTTGCTTTTGAGTCTCTATCTAGGTAGTTGAGTCTATTCATTCATTAAGGTGGCCAAAGTTGCCAGACCACCTGTATTCAATCCAGCATGCCTTTCCACACAAAGAAAACATGGCCTAAGATGCCCATGTAGCTGCCTGTGTCCAATCTAGTTTCATGGCAGGTCCACTTTTTTATCCCTGCCTCTAACTCCTACTTGTGCCAAGAAGTTCAGCACGCCACTGGTGAGAGGTCTTATTCTAAGGGACACCCAAGAGCTTGAGCAACTAGGCACATCATACAATGGTTTTTCTTCTTCATAGGAACAGATGACACCAATAGATGCATGGCCATTATTCTGAAGTAAGGCAGGCCACCACTGTACCATTTCTATGTTGCACTGAGGCAGGATAGATTACACCTACAAATTCTTTATTCAGGGCCCCTTGTTCAGGAATATTGCTTGCTGCCTTTTTTTTTTTTTTCCCTTAAGTGTTAGGGGGAAATATCCTTCATTTCCAAATAAAGCAAGAGGAAGTTGTAATTGGATTTTACCACAGGGTCACAATTTCTGCCTTGGGGAAAGTATACTAGGGTCAGAATTCTCTCCTTACTAGACCATTACTTGGTGTTCTCTACAAGGGCTAAAACTATTTCTTAAAGATTTATTTATTTATTTGAGAGAGAGACAGTGTGCACGCACAAGCAGGGGGAGGAACAGGGGGAACAGGAGAGAATCTCAAGCGGATTCTGCTGAGTGTGGAGCCTGCTGCAGAATTGGTCTCACCACCTTGAGATCACGACCCTGAGATCATGACCTCAGCAGAAACCAAGAGTTGGACACTTAACCAACTGAGCCACCCAGGCGTGCCTAAGGGATAAAATTTCTTGGGTAAGCAGCAATGGAGATGAGAACTCAGCAGATGACTATGGGACATTTCTTTCAGGCCTTGAGCTGCAGGCTGTGGGGGATGTGATAGGGAACAAAGGTATGAAAACCACTTTGACCAAATTCTGTCTATCGGTTCCTAAAATATTCACTTTATTTCAGTTATAAGGAACAAAATGCTATTGAGTCAGAGAAGGGAGAGCATCCCAAATCTGACAGGTAGGGAATAGATTCGTCACCATGCTGTGTATTAGATCTCTAGAACTTATTCATCTTGCATGACTAAAACTTTGTATCCTTTGACCAACATCTCCCCTTTTCCCTTATCCCTCCAGTTCCTGGCAATCACCTGCTTTTATGAGTTTGACTTCCTTAGATTCCACATATAAGTGAGATGATGCAGTATTTGTCTTTCTGTGTGTGATTTACTTTACTTAGCATGATATCCTCCAAGTTCATCCATGTTATTGCAAGAGGTAGGGTTTCTTTTTTTTTAAAGGCTGAATAATATTCCATCGTATATGTATATACATTTCCTTTATCCATCTGTGCACTAATGGACACTTAGGTTGTTTCCATATCATGGCTATTGTGAATAATGCTGCAATTAATATGGGAATGCAGGTATCTCTTCAAGATCCTGACTTCATTTCCTCTGAATATATATATATATGCCCAGAAGTGGGCTTGCTGGATCATATGGTAGTTCTATTTTTAATTTTTGGAGGAACCTCCATACTGTTTTCCATAGTGGCTGCACCAATTTACATTCCCACCAACAAGGTATAGGGCTCCATTTTCTCCACATCTTTGCCAATACTTGCTATCTTTTGTCTATTTGATAATAGCTGTTCTTACAGGTGTTAAGTAATAGCTCATTGTGGTTTTAATCATCAGCATTTCCCAGACAATTAGTGATGTTGAATGCCTTTTCATATACCTGTTGGCCATTTTCATGTTTTCTTTTGAGAAATATCTATTCAGGTCCTTTGCCCATTTTTTTAGATCAGGTTATTTGGGTTTTTGGGTGTTTTGTTTTTGTTTTTGTTTTTTCCTATCCAGTTATGGAAGTTCCTTACATATTTGGATATTAACTCCTTATCAGATGTTTGGTGTGCAAATGTTTCCTCCCATTCTGGAGGCTGTCTCTGCCCTCTATTGATGATTTCCTTTGCTATACAAAAGCTTTTTAGTTTGATGCAATCCTACCTGTCTATTTTTGCTTTTGTTGTCTGTGATTTGAGGGTAGTGTCCGAAAAGTCATTGCACAGACCAATGTCAAGAAGCTCTTTTTCTATATTTTCTTCTAGCCATTTTATAGTGTCAGGCCTTACATTTAAGTCTTTCATTAATTTTGAGTTGATTTTTATGTATGGTGTGAAAAAAGGGTCCAATTTCATTCCTCTGCATGTGAATATCCAGTTTTCCCACTCATGGTAAAAACTCTCAGCAAGTTAGGAATAGAGGTTTATTATCTCAATTTGATAAAGAGCATCTACAAAAAAACCTACAGCTAATGTCATACTTAATGGTGGAAGACTGAATGCTTTCCCCTAAAATCAAGAACAAGGCAAGATGTTAGTTTCATCTCTCTTATTCAACATAGTTAAATAATACAGTCACTGCAGTAAGGTAAGTAAAAGAAATAAAAGAAATAAAAGACAGACATAAAACAGTCTCTATTTGCAGATGACATGATTGTCTCCAGAGAAAATTGCAAGGCATCGTCAAAAAAAAAAAAAAAAAGCTTAGAACTAATAAGTGAGTTCAGTGAGGTTGCAAGATTTAAGATCAACATACAAAAATCAATCACATTTCTGTATACTAACAATGAGGATGTGGAAACCAAAATTAAAAGCACAATATTATTTATAACCATTCCAAAGAAAATAAAATGTTTAGCTATACACTTAATAAAACATGTAGAGGATATGCATGCTGGAAATTACAAACTTTTGATGACAGAAATCCGAAAAGACCTAAATAAATGGAAATACCATGTTCAGGAATTGGAAGACTCAACATAATAAAGAGATCCACTTTGTATAAGTTGATCTATAGGTTAATGAAATTTTTATCAAAATCCCAGCAAGCTTAATTGCTGGCTTCCTTGCTTTATTTATTTATTTTAGAGAAAGAGAGTGTGTGTGTGCATGCGAGTGGGGGGAGACACAGACAGGGAGGGACAAGGAGAGAGAATCTGAAGCAGACTCCCTGCAGAGCGCAGATCCCCATGTGGGGCTCTATCTCAGGACCCTGAGATCATGACCTGAGCTGATGAATATGCATGTGAAAAGATATTCAACATCATTAGTCATATGGGAAATGCAAATTAAACCCACATTAGATAACACTACACACCTATCAGAATGGCAAAAATAAAAAACTGTATCCACACAAAATGGTGGGGAGAATGCAGAGAAACTGGATCACTCATGCATTACTGGTACAGTACAAATTGTTTCTAGAAGAAAACAATTTGATAGTTTCCTGTAAAATTAAACATGTAGTTACTATAAGACTCAGCAACTGTACTCTTGGGCATTCATGCCAGAGAAATAAAAAACTTATGTTTATACAAAAACTGGTACAGGAATGTTCACAGTGGATTTATTTGTAATGACCCAAACCTGAAAACAGTTCAGATGTCCACACCATGTGAATGGTTAATCAAGCTGTGGTACATCCACACCATGGACTACAACTCAACAAGAAAGATAAATGAACTATGAT